TTTAGACAGTGTAATTTTGTTTATTTTACTATGTACAATCTATAGCTGAGCAAGTAACTTATAAACCAGTTAAAAGTAGTTTTTACTGAACATTTGATTTATTAGTGGCGACGTGGAAACATAAATGAGGATTGTTAATACAAGTTTAATGAGTGAGCGAGCAAAAACAATGTAATTACAAGAGCACATTGTGGCACTCACTTAAAACATTTCCAACGAATGAACGAACCCTTCCTTCAACAAGCCATAAAATTCTCGGTATTTTTTTAAACCACAGATAATTACACACGTAACACAAGTATCGATCTAAATTGTTTATTTTTTACAGCGTCAGTTGAAACGAGTAATTAGTGTGGGAGTGATTAGAGGTGAGAGCAGTTGATCGGCCGCGGCACGCAATACTAGCAGGTTCGATGCCCGACCTGCTCTCACGAAGGGCGCTCGATCAAACTACCTTGAATAAAAATCGTAATGTAAACAACCCCGTCTTATTTTGTAAAGCAAAATTAACGAAGAGTAAATTGGCCGTGATTATTGAAATAACAGGCGCTGGCCTCTGGGCTAACAGGAGACATTTAATATCGGAGAAAATATTAAGAACCATGCAAAAATTATGCGTAATTATTTTACTTGCAGAAGTTGCATGCAAATGTCGATGCAATTATAGTCTTACACAGTATAGACAGAGCATTTAAGTATCTAGTGCCCAGTCGTTGTTTATAAATATTTTCGGTTTTGTTTGAGACTAGTACAGAAGGCACACAGTAGTAGCGTGTCGTGCCGGCTGGTGCAAACGACCCCTTAGCTCGCGTGCCCCGACCGCTCTAAGGCCGATTGAATTAGATAGACAATAGATATCAGTCATCAATCAAAACGTCCAAGAGTTTAATTGTTGAAAGTGAATTGTTTATGAACGACTACATATAACTTCTCACGATTTACTCGAGTATTGAAAGGTTCAAGATTTCACTCACACCTGTCCATTGCACTACATTAGAGGATCGAGATCAGAGGGATGGACCTCGCCCGCAGCAGCCCTTTGTGGAAAGATTCCCGGAGCGAGTGCGAGGGCACTTTGATGTCGAGCCCGCCAGGTAATTTGGAAAAACGTTATTTAATTAACTTTCGACAAGTCGGCGTAATCGTGTTACAAAGCCGCCGGGTGAACGGTCAAGTCTTTGAGCCACCGGCTAGCTGTTTCACCCGGACTTGATTTTTACGCCAAACATACCGACCATAAAGGCGCTGTCATTTTCAGGTGTTTTCCAATTAACATCGCGCCTTTGACCACGTCCGCACAAAGTAATAACAACAACAGCCTTTGTTATTACCCGTGTAGTTTTATTAAAGGGTGGCGGTGTAATAGAGACGCGCTTTAAATAATATGCAGCGGGATTAATTCGACTTATTGGCTGGACTATTTTCATTTTGACGGACCACAGTACCACGATGTAATTTCGTAGGTGTTCAAATTGTTATTTCATTAACAGGGTTGGACAATAGTTTTATGAGTTGCCGAAATAAGTTTGGGAGTGTTTAAACTTTGGAATTGGTTAGCGGTGCATTTTGTGTGAGCGCCGTAAGCAAGTCCGGGTGAGACGAGCCGGCGCCCGCGGCGGCCGGCGGCCGGACGACGGTCCGCGCCACGGGATAATTAACTGTGCGAACTATCCCCTTGTCCGACAAGTACTGCAATTAGAAATTTGCTTTAAAGCGCTAATAAATATCATTAACATCTGAAACTAACTTGTGTCGAGTATGTAACGCGCTTTGTACATGAGTAGGAGAGCCATGGAGTTTGGAGCAAGTGGAGAGCTTAGATGAAGGATTCGTTTTATTTATAAGGTGAAAAGTGACTAGTTTATGATTCTGGATAATCAACCACACATATTGGTGAAATGTGCTCTTGAAGTATCATACATTAACAAAAGCCTGTGCGTTGTATCATTGAACAGTTTAATTGTTTTTCTTCACCACGTCCATTTGCTAAGTTCGCATATCTAATAATTTTAATTATTAATATGTCTTTCACCAAAGTTGCGAGTTTGTGCGCTAAGGTACTGTTTAATGAAAGACGAAAGAATTTTCTATAGTTCTGGCTACTGAGATGAAAGAAAAAGTAGTTTGAGACATCCTTTCAAACCACGCCATTGTAAAAATAGACTGAATATTTTTTATTAAAAAAAAAATAACTGTTTGAGAAGTATCGAATAGAAAACGACAGGTAATATCTCGTGCTGATCCCAAATAACTAGATATATTTAAGGTTAGGAAGAAATAAAGGAGTTCCATTTTTGACTCCGTGTAACTGACTAAATCTTGAAGTATGACGTACCTAGCATCATCGATTTATCTCATCAAATTTAAACAAATCAGCTCTGATTGTCTTCCACAATTTTGGTTAAATGGACCCTACAATTTCCATCAAAGCGTGTTCAATACAGGCATACAATATTTTAGTAATTATCACGGCAGTCGGTCGTTAGGTACTCGCATCTAATCCGCTCACGCGGAGTGGTCGTGTCGTGAGTGCAAATGGTACACAGGACTATATACACATCAAACTACGCAAACCAATATAAACTGACCGCTGTATGTTCAGAAAGTTCATACAAAGTGAGACTAAGATAAACTGGATTTGTATTGCTCGATGTGAGCCGTGTACTTGCACCCCTCATCCCTCTGTTTCGCTTATGATTCGTGAATTTTTAACACGTCTGAGAGGACTGCAACGTTGCTTTAAACAATATTGGTATTGGCTTTTAGAAAATATCCTATGTACACTTTTGTTAGGCTTTTTGTCTGTCTGTCTGTTGGTCTTTTGTTTTTGTGGCGGGATGAAGTGATTTTGATAGTCTGGGTCTTTTGTTTCGTGACGGACTTCAGGAGGGATTTTTTTAAAAAGGTTTATAGATATTACTTGTTTAGACCTGCCTATAGATATCGGCCACACCAGTGGACTCACAAGTGAGTTGCCATCATCATCATAACATCACGCCTTTTTATCCCCGAAGGGGTAGGCAGAGGTGCACATTTCGGCACTTAATGTCACTGTACAATGTCACACCCACTTTTCACTATTTATGTTATGACTCCCATGTAATAGAGGGTGAGCCTAGCCTTCTGGTAATTCAGAAATTGGGGCTGGGGGACAGTAAAGGAAAATAAAGAGCGTATATATAATGATAAAAGTATAATAAATATGTAATTGTGATACCATCTAACACACACTCAAATGCTCCAAAAAATAGTGATGAGGTGACGCACGAAAAAAGAACAGCTACACCATAAAGTTAATACTTGATCCTATTAATACCTGTTCCTATTAATACCTCTTACATTTCCCACAACGTATGACGTATACATTACTGTACATACATATGTAACACTTCCTATTACAACCGCGGTACACTACCGACTACGTGCTACCCACTTTACGACCTATGTTACTTTTATCTCTCCGCCTCAGTTACTGCAATAGACAATAGCAAATTACCTAGTTACACGACAAACGACTGCTTAATTAAACCGTTACCGACTAAAACTGCTTTTTTATCAAGAATAACTGTTTTAAAAACGTTAATTGCGTTTTGTTCGTTGGTTTGTTTGCTTGCTTTGTGTATAGTAGATGTTTAAACCTATTAAGGAAGTGTGTTCCTAGATATTGACGTGTGTGTTTTCGCAATTATAAAATTAAATGGATTTTTGAAAATGTATCATGTACATTTTTATGTCCACGATTTTATACAAGTATGGTTTAGTTTGATGCCTCGTTAGCCGAACAAGTGCGACTGCGAGGCAAGGGGTCTCAGGTTTGATTCCCGGGTCCGGCAAAGTATTACTTTAAAAATTCTCAGAGTCTGGAACTGAGCTCGGTATATGGCAATAGGCTCACCCCCTATTACACAGGACATAAATAGTGAAACGTGGGTGTTACATTGTACCTCTACAGTGGCATTAAGAGCCGTAATGTGCACATCTGTATACCCTCCGGGGATAAAAGCCGTGATGTTATATGTTATTGTTCAGTTTCTTATTCTAATTTTCTCTTAGTGCTTACTTAAATTCTCAAAGGAACTTGCAGGTCATTTCAGGTTCCATTTTTCGTTGTATTTAATCTATTTGTCACCAATACGACGGAAGAGTTCCATTATTATATTGGTGATAATAATAACTATTTATTTATGAAAGATGACATATGTTTGAACATAATATTCCAATAGGTACCTACTTTATTCAATCATGTCACATTTTATCAATTGTCATGTAATAGTTATTTTCATTTTACCTGTTTATGACATAAATGTACCTAACTTAAAATAAAATTTATTTACATTATATGAAATTACAAGGCGGATAGTGAGGGAAAACACAGTCCGATCACATCACTAAAATATACAAAATTACAAAATTCCCCAATTACGTCACGGAATTAACGGGGGCATTACTAGAAATGGCAACACCGATATCTGAACTCTCTATTCGATTTTGAATCTGTGGCGGCGTCAATCAACATGGCCCCCGGCAGACAATAATTAACGCAATTAATTAAGCTTAGGAAATACCTTAATTAATGATCACGCTAGTCACGACGTGTGAGTGTTTGCTGGCAAAGGTCAAGCGTGAACCGGCCCACGAGTTAAACCTTCAAGGGTTTATTAAAGAATGTACCTCAATCGATTCTATTAATCGATTAATTTAATCATTATTGATTCGGAAACTTTTTATTCTATTAAGTTAATCGATTTTATCGGAGTTTTATTGGGGCTGAACTTATTTGGTCGTATTGATTCGGATCAGTAATGTTGTTTGGAATAAACGCTCAATGAAGACATGGAATGATTTTTTTGGCTTATGAATAATTTTTTCGAAGGTATAAATGGATGTTGGAGCAATTATTATTGCCTACTTATATAGAGTTATTAATGAGATTGTAAGGCACCTACCTCCTCATAGTCTTTATGCGAGTGTTGTGGCGCTTGCGCGCGCGCAGGTGCTGCTCATTCGCGCGAGCGGCGCGGGCGCCCGACTTTGTTCTTGCGCATGGGCGCGCCGGGCGCCCCCGTCGCGTTAGCGCTCTTCATCAGCTTCTGCCAGTCCTGCTCGCACACTAGTGAGCCCGCGAGCATGTAATACCTGGACAAATAGATGGACTGGTCATCATCATCATCACCATCGTTGTTAGCAGCCCAAGACAGTATAGGCAATGTCTATCTATGGACTGCCTCTAGAATTCTACATACGCTACTGTGTCGGTCGGTGATCAACAATGGGCTCTTAACTATTACGGTGGAACTGATAAAATAGCTGTGCCTCTGTGCCTATTTCATTGTTTTGGAAATAACTTAAGTCAATAAGATAAGATTGTTACTGATACTTACCTATCGCCCTGCATAAGGTGGGATCCACATTTGGAGCAGGCGAAGCACTTTATGTGGAACACGTGGAGTGGCTGCTGTGGAGCATTCGTCCTCATCACGAACTCGCTGGCAGGGATCGCTTGCCCACACGCTGCGCACGCGCCCCCTGAGCCGAACATTCTGGAACAAGACAATCTTATTTCAATATGTTTTAGAAGCTCCAATACCCCGGGCCCAGGGCTACAGAAGGCATCCTCTACATCCACCTTCTATTAAAAGAGACCAGTCTTAAATCGGAGAACGTAACAGATTAAGTAATTTCAACTTCCATCTAACTAAAGAGTCAATAAAAACGAAATTACTTAACTTTATAACTATAATTAAAACAATCTTAATCAAACAAAAAGGCAATTTAAAACCTACCTTTCTAGTTGCTAATTAAAAACTCGAACTAATTACTAGTATTGAAATATTCTCTAATGAAGTTGGGAGTATTTTAAACGGCCTGCTTCTACAGAATGTTTAAATTGAAGATTAAAATGATCGACATCCCGAGGTAAGTACTTGGAGCTAACAATTTTAACAAGCTAGCTTCAATACGTTAAAATGCCACGATTATTGCTCGTTAAGCTTTGATAAATGGATAATAAAGTAACGACGTTAACTATAAATCACTCAAATGTACATGCTTATTTGTACTGCTGTTTGAACACTAAATTATTGAGTATATTTATAAAATTATTGCTAGCTTCACGTCAGAAGTTTAGTTCAAAAGTCAGTAGGATACGACTATACTATACAGTCCCAAGTGTGGAAGAGCCATGCTTCGGCACGAATGAGCCGGCTCGACCGGAGTGATACCTCGGCCTCACAGAAAACCGACGTGAAGTAACGCTTGCATTGTGTTTCGTCGCACAATCACATGTGAGGTTACCGGAGGCCCAGCTTCCTTCCCCCTTCCCCAATCTCCCCAATCACCTAATCCCCAGCAATCCTCAAACTCCTAATCCCCAAAAGGCCGGTAACGCACTTGTAACGCTTCTGGTGTTCCAGGTGTCCATGGGCGACGCCGATTGCTTACCATCAGGTGATCCGTCTGCTCGTTCACCATATTTAATGTCGTAAATAAGAAAAAAAACAGCTGATAGAAGTGAACTGAATCTATCCAATTTTCCGTATCAAAGGACTACTATTTAAATCGCGCTAAAGTTTTAAAACTATAGATCGACATCTGCATACTTATTGTTTGTGGTCAGATACCCCTATGAATTTACATTACATTCCATGGACTGTAGGAGTATATTTATAACTTAATCTTATACCTACCTCTATTTATTTCACATTTTTTATTTTATCATATCTACCTAGAACCTAGATTATTAGTAGGTTCTCTAATATTTAACTATAGCAGCTCGCATCTTCATCGCAATAATGCTACAAGTTCTCCATTTCACAATTCAATTCCGAGTTTATTCATAGCTAAGGACCACCTCGAATACCCAAATAAAACAATATATCAATCACTATGATAGAGAAATCTCTATCATAAACTTAATTACAATATATTTTCTATTTTAACTTTTCATCGCCATATTATAAAATCAATCATTCGTTCCGCAGCGATTTACCGTATAATTAATAAGGCTCATGGCGGCCATATTGAATGGTTTATTGCCAATAAAACGTGTGAATAAGACGATAAGATAATGTTTATAATGCCTTTGACGAGTGTCATCGTTGTTTGTAATTCGCGATAAAATTTAATGGCCATACTTTTGAATCATATTTTCTTTTTATCGGCTGAAATGGAAATCTTGAGGAGTTTTATTGGAGTTTCTTTAATTCTTCATTGTGTGTGATGACGTTGAAGATTTCTATGTTTTACTCAGTATAGGTTCTTTCTAGAGTTCCTATAATAATATTGTTTTGGAAGTACTTACGTCTCGAAAACGTAGGAACAAGTGCTAATCTGTAAGAAATATAGGTGGTCTTAGTTCGTTGCCATAAACCTTGTGACTCCTGACTCAACGAGGCAGATGATTTGTGGATAAACTATGGAGTAACTTATAAAAGGTTACACGAAGGATGTAGTGTGTACGATAACCAGAATGTAGTGGAAGTATTAATGAAATGTAACTGAAACAGCAATGGAGCTGAGAGTCTACACGACAGTCGTAACAACCTCGTTGCAGCTAAATAATTATATACTCTATTTCATTCCAGTTGAGACGTTGCTTGCCAACTATAATAAAATAAATCTATTATTATTCAGCTCGTTAACTACCATGATTCCGCATAAAGTTTCTAAAATACCTGCGGTTCTGTACACGACCAGTAAATCTTGACGGAAAACTCGGTTTAAGTTAATGACATGACATCTTCCAAAAATTACGTCCGACTGCGCGGACGCTGGAACTGTGGCAGTTTAATAGCCGCATTTAATACTTAATGAGTCATTATTGCAATCGCTATTAGCGTCGCTGGCGAGCCCGCATTATTTACAGCCGCCCTGAATATTAATAAATCGCAATAACAATCCGACCAAAAGCAATCAAAATTTAATTACCTGCGCTTCTTAGCGTTATTCGTTTTGAAATGATTCAACGTCGAACATTGGCAATGGGTTAAAGATAAATTTGAAAGTCTTAAAAGATAAATTCGCTTCAATCACTCGGAGCAAATAGGATTTCGTTTCATTTACTCCGGTAAGAGCGTTTTCAATTAAGGAGCGCCCGACAAACAGTATCGGCGTATGAAGGTAAAATTAATTAAACCGAGCCAAGACAAACATGTACGAATCTATTTGTGTTGGACGCTCGCGGGGCGGCTGTGTGCGGGAAGATGTGTGGATTATACGCGGGAAAAACACGGAAAACATACCAACGCTCGATTTAATTATTAGTGTAGTAGTGTCTTGGAACCGAACCACACATGAAACATAAATATAGGCCGAAACAAGGTTGACAGGCCAATAAATCTTACACGTTAACTTAAGTGGGTCGAACTATGAATGAATACCTAAATAAATCTACTCTTTTTATAAACTAACCAATTGTGAGCACTTCATTTGGAGTGAAGAGATATATTAATGTTGTGATTGGCTACATCGAGGGCCACAGCCAAAGTCGTACATTATAATTAATTAACAAAATTAATACGTGTAATATTTCCTTACGAACCTTTTGAACATTACATATCACATCAATTCTTGGGACGGACTTAATTAAAACGTGGACATTAACACACGCGAAGTTGTTTTATTTATTCGACCGTGTTATTTTAACAAGTTTAGTTTGGGCTTGAACATTGCGAACTGATAAAGGTCCCGCTTAGTTCGATACCTTTCATCGCGATTTGTAATTTTATTTACGTGCGTAGTTGAAAGTTGTTAAGAAATTCTAATCGGCAACTTTTAGGTTGCCTTTCATACTGATATTAATTAAGGCGTGTGTGTTTAATAAATGCAAAAGTTTCGCGCCGTTCGTTCGCATTCGTACCTAGGGGCGCGGGCGGGTGTGGTACCTACTCGAACTTTATTTGCCTACGTTACTTGTAAAATTGAATACGTCACCGTGAATCCTCATTAATTTAAGATGTAGACTGTATCTTGACATGTTATTTTATTCATTAAGGGAGCGTCTTGAGTCTCACGGTTGTGTACGTGTCGACTTCGGATTGTTGTAAGGAACATAATTTAAAACCTCTCGACAAGATCATTAGAGCGAGGGTGTGGAAGGGGCTCGCGAGAGGGCGCTGTTATCGTCTAAATATAACGAGGTCTTACATGAAAAATATACGTAATTATCTCCGGGTTTTCCTACAGAAACAGCTCATTCGTATTGATAACTTAATTACTAATTAAGTATATGATTCAGTAGTTTATGGTGTATAGGTAATGTTAGGTATAATGTAGGCAGTGACTAGTAACGAGGCTAGGCAAATGTATTTAATTAAATATCAGATTTTTCATCTTTCCTTCCTCTTCGTGTCCTTGTATGGTTATATAAAACCTGTATTAATGCTAAATTTAATTATACCTGTGTTGGATATATTATGTGCACGTAACTCGACAGTTAATACATTTTCATATTGAATTATTAGAACAATAACGTCATTTACATTTATGTAATGTATGGGTCAAAGTCTAATGTAAGTTTTTCATACTTTTATTCCTTGACATTTATACAAAATAATTACAAAAAATAAGCAAATAAAGTTAAACGTATGAATATTCATACAAGTTTTGTAAACGTCTGACAGTTAGCATTGCGAATGTATGAATTTATTACTTCGTTATTTTTAAAAAAATTGTACTTGTTGAGTCGTTGTTACATGTATCGATTACAATATTAATAGAACGAACGTTTATATTAATCGATATAAATTAAAAACAAAACCGAAGCTGTATATCAAAAAAAAACAAAGACAATTAAAAGTAAAACGGTAGTATCGACTATCGAAGAGCGTAAAAATAGACAAATCGTTATGTGACGTCATAAAAACTAGAACGCGGTAATTGATTTAATGAATATCGCTAAGTTGTGGGTCTCGCAGTGGGAGGGGGCGATTGGCTCGAGACGAATGCCCCTCAATGGAGCCGAGATGCGCCGGGCCGGGGTAACTTGTTGCTTCGCCGTGTTTGCTATCAGACTGAAGGAAAGACCCTAGAAATCATTAAACGACGCTATTACGAGTATCAAAAGGAGATTATGAAATTCACCGTCGCCCACTTAAATTTTTATTCGCTTTTATTAAACATCAAGTGGCTTTATATTTTTAGTTTCATCTTTTTTCTGTGGGTTCATGTTTATTTTTTAAGTGTCCTGTTCTATGTTGATTAGCCACATAACATGATTTATGGACGGAATTACGCATTCAAATAATGTAATTAATTAATAGGGATGATGACAGGGTATGAAAATTAAAAATCGAATTAGTCCGCCAGTTAGGTAATGAAAAAATATTAGACACGTATTTTTTTTATTTTGTCCTATTAGAAAACATTACTTAGATAAAACGTGAATCAAAGTTTAGGAGCGAGAGATAGCTACGTCATTTTAGAGTACGTAAATCGTACTCAAAAGTGACGTCATGCGATATTTCAAATCAATATATCTTCGAAACTATTCGTTTCCGTAAGAAAATATAAAATACGTGTCTAATGTTTTTAAATAATCTAC